TCTCTCTCTCTCTCTCTCAATTTAAACATTCTTAGAAATTTCAACAAACAAAAATGGCGGTCAGCCCTCCCTCCTTGTCATCTCTCTCTCTCTCTCTTCATGTCGTCAATGAGCTTCTTCGGCAGAGCGGCCGCCGCTGTCACCTGCATCACCGAGAGGCCACAACAGAAAATGGTGGTCAGCCCCTCGAACGAAAACCCTCTCCCCTCGTCCAGATCCACCACTCTCTCCTCTAATCCCCTCGGCTATGCAACACTCCAGCGGGCAACTACGAGCAAATCGAATTGTGGAAACAACATTCTGAAAGGAGTAGGGAAAAAAAACTGCAAATGCCAAATTGAGATTGTAATTTGGAACGGATGGCAACTAGAAGAAGGAGAGATGGATGGAGAGAGAGGGAGGAAGGAGGGAGAAAGGAGGAGGGAGAAAGGGAGGAGGGAGAGATGGAGGAAGAAGAAGGGAGGAAGGAGGAGGGAAAAAGAAAGGGAGGAGTAAAGAGGGAGTAGCGAGTCGACGTGTGGAGCGAGAAAGAGAGGACGAAAGAGGTGGGAGAAGTGAGGTGCTGCGTGGAGGAGGGAGAAAGGGAGGAAGGAGGAGGCAGAAAGGAGGGAGGAAGGAGAGAGGTAGAGATAGATGACGAAAGAGGGGAGAGGAGGAGGGAGGGAGGAGGAGGAAAGATGGACGAGGAAGAAGGGAGAGCGGAGGAGGGAGAAAAGGAGGAAGCGGGAGGGAGAAAAGGAGGAAAGAGGGGGCAGCGAGTCGAGTCAGTTGACGCGTGCACGATGGGATGGAGGTGTCGCGCGGAGTGAAAGGCCCTGTCGCTAACGTAACAAGGGCAAAAAAAAAAAAAAGGTGATTGGATGGTGAAGTGTTCGAAGGACAGATGGATGGAGAGAGAGGGAGGAAGGAGGAGGGACAGATGGATGAAGACGAAGGGAGAACGGAGGAGGGAGAAAGGGAGGAGATGGACGAAGAAGAAGGGAGGAAGGAGGAGGGAGAAAGGGAGGAGGAAAAAGGAGGGAGAAGCGAGGTGCTGCGTGGAGGAGGGAGAAAGTGAGAAATGAGAGAAGTACAGATAGAGGACGAAAGAGGGGAGAGGAGGAGGGAGGGAGGAGGAGGGAGAGATGGATGAGGAAGAAGGGAGAGAGGAGGAGGGAGAAAGGGAGGAAGGAGGAGCGAGAAAGGAAGGAGGAAAGAGGGGGCAGCGAGTCGAGTGAGTCGACGCGTGGAGGATGGGAGGGGTGGAGGTGCCGCGCGGAGTGAAAGGCCCTGTCGCTAACGTAACAAGGGCGAAAAAAAAAAAAAAAGGTAATTGGATGG